AGTATTTTTACTATGTTGAATTATAAATCGGAAAAATAAAATGGGATTCTCTGATTTTAACTTTGAAACCCCCTATTCTGCGTATTTTTTGGAATTCTGCGATATTCTGCGATGATTTCTGTGGTTGGCTGTGATTAAGAAAAATTCCGCTGTTTTCTGTGAAACACAGAAAATCATCGGCCCTGATGTAGATATCCAAAAATTTTACGATTTAAGAATTTGATATTTCGACAACAACCACGATGAAAATAAAATAAAAAAGTATATATCGAATTTGGTCTGATGATTGTCAATTGTCTATAAAATTTAAGTCGTAGAATTTTTTAAATTTTTAAACGAAGCTATCAAAAAACCAAATTTGATGTAGTTTTTTTTATTTAATTTTATATACTTTTTGAATCAAAGAGAGGTTTTTTATTGAATTTTGTTTGGCGGTTGTCTTGTTTAAAGTTGCAAAAAAATATATAAAATTTATGTAGTGATCTACATATGCCGTTAATTTTATTGGTCAAAAATTTCGTGTTACCGAAAATTTTTGAGGTAGTTAATTTCTGCGCCATGACTAATTACTAAGCTCCGCTTTGTGACATACTGAATGAAGCCAAATCCCTCATCTGTAGAGTTCCAATTCGGATAAATCTGTCATCCGTCTATTCGTATCTAATTATCCTAATAGTTCAAATCGCTCAGATATCCGACAAGTATTCGGATCAGTAGTAAATGGATATCCGAATAAATTCAGATCCGGATACCGTACCATTCCGAAATTAAGCACCCCCCGAAATTAAGTACCACCAAATTTTGTATAATATCCGAAAATAAGCACTCCCTAAGTATAATCGTATCGGATTTTTTTACTAAGCAAATCTACTATCTGTTTCTAAATAAAGGTATTCCCTAGGTTAAGACGATTCTAATGGTGGTAAAATTATCAAAATCGGTTCAGTAGAACGTTTACAATTATTCTTCAAATTTTAGGCGACATTTACTTTTCATGACTGTAGATACGTAAGCAAATGCAAACAAACGTCGATTGAATTTTGAAGAGCAATTTCTGAAGTTCTACTGGATCAATTTTGGCGATTTTACCATCGTTAGAATCGTCTTAACCTGGAGAATGTCTTTACTTAGAAATAGTAGGAAGGTTTACTTGGCACAAAATCCGTATTATTAATTTTTAAATTAATATCCGAAAATAAGCACCACTTATAACAAAAAAAGGGTGCTTAATTTCGGAATGGTACGGTATCTGATAGTTATCCGAATAAATGCTTAATGGATTGGAACTCTACTCATCTGGACATTTAGTCACATATTTTGACGCACTAATCAATCAAAATGAACTCATTGTTATATTATCAGGCGCTTTATTTCCATTTCAAATTCGTAAAGGTTCTCATTAACGTAACATTAAAAATCATTAATCTTTCACCCATCCTAATCCTTCTTGTCCACCTAATAAGATAGCCTTCCTATTTAAAACTTCTAATACTTTCTCACGTACTCCAATTTTAAATTTACGATCTTTGAGGAAAAAATCCACAACGTCCTCTTTACTCATGTTCTCACCGGTGACGACCTTTCGAATTTCTTCTTCAGGCGGAAGACTAAATCTCGAAAATGGATAGTTTTCAAACGATCGTATGTTCAGCAGTTCAAGTTCTTGTGTACCAGAATGTTCAAAATAAAATTCAATATCAGTGACTTCTTCCAAAGATGGTGGATCCCATTTTGGCGGTGTTTTGTCTTTATTAAAAAGAAGGTGTTTGACACCTCTCGCAAAATCAGACTTTTTCTGTATTAAATTGAAAAAATTTGAATTCATAACAGTAAAGCTATTAATATTTTGATTTGTCAATGAACAATTACCAAGAATTTCTGTCCGAGTCTGTACTCCATTTTAAAACAATCAGTTATGACCATATCCTTGCCTTTACGTACTTCTTTCAATGCAACCTTCATCAATACATACGAATATGTTTATTAAATATAAAATAAAATAATTAATCAATTTAAAAATAATAGACGGGTTACTCACTTTCAAACTGGTGGGTGACATTCGTAAAAGTGTGTTTATCGTCTCCCTAGACCAATCTGAGTTTTCTTGTTCCAAAGCTTTTAAGATGTCTTCAACACTATCTTCCTTGAAACATCTATTTTAAATGTTTGTTAAAAATACTATAATCACCAAAATTTATTCATTACGTAACCCTACCGATCAATTGACTTTCTGACATTTCCACCAAGGGCATAAGAGTGATCGCGATTACATTCTGCGACAAATTCTTCAATTACTGCGTTGATAACTTCATGGTCATCACATTCAATCTCACTTAAACGATTTTCTAAAAGTGGCAGTCGTTGTGATGGAACATAGTGTGTTGCTATCCCAGATAAGCTATTATAATAATATATGTTTAATATATTTATAAGGTTTGAAAAAAAAAAAAAAACTTACAAAACATCTAGACCCTTCAATGAGGCGCCTGTCAAAGCTAAATAAGTCCCGACTTCGCCGTCCAACCTTGGCAAAAAGAAAGAACCACCAACATCAGGAAAAAACCCGATTTTTGTCTCGGGCATGGCAAACACAGTGTTTTCCGTTGCGACACGAAATGGAGCATGAACGGAAAGGCCAACACCACCGCCCACTTTGTGAATGGCAATCAATGAGAAAAACTATGAATATTTGAGTATAAGTCTTTAACTAGTGCTTACCGATGTAAACGATTGTGATCGGAAACAAGACGTACTGGTGATGCCGTCTAAGAATGAAACAAACGGCTTATCTAATGTGGCAATAAGATGATTAAGCTGATATTCTTCTTCAAAAAATTTTACGGCGCGTTGATATTCGCCTTGTTCCATATCATTAATAACACCTAATAAAGTACATAAACATTTAATATCTTTTCAGTAAACAAAGGAGTCTAGACTATTATTATTCATACTTTTAACATCTCCACCAGCACAGAATGCCTTGTTTCCAGTAGCTTTAAGAATAATGACTTTACATAGATCCGATTCATTCCAAGCCTAACAATCAAATTACTGATTAGGAGGGATCAATGATAATTTTTAAGTATCGAATAACTCATTAACCTGTAGTTGAGGTGTCATATTTCTGATCATGCTAAGATCCAGGGCATTATGAACAACTGGTCGATTTAATATAAAAATGCGATTTCCGAATACCCTTTTGTGTATTACATCCGCCTAAGGAAATAAAATTTGGCTCAGCGGTATTTTGTTGTTATAACCTTTTCACACAGACGAAGAATTAGTGGCTACCTGAGGAGGGTCTACATTTGTGGTAGTAGACATGTACTAATGTAAACCAAGTTAAGAATGTTTAGCAAATCTATAAAAAAAAAAGGCTTCTGAAACAATACTAACTTTTTTGAAGCCGCAAATTCTAAATGTTCGGAATGCCTTGCGATACATAACGATACGAAGCTTGGTATTCTCAAATTCTCATGAGAACAAGTTTAGGAAGACATTGATTCTGATTGGCAATATTAAATGTCACGGTTTGATATCAGATATGAGAGCTGCACAGGGAAAACCTGTAAGTAAAATTTTATTCGTTAATCATTATGACGATCTTAAAAATTTGGCACTTGGGCGCGACCAATCATTGGATATTACAAATAAACGTTTACTACATAAGCTATATAATAAATGATTATTTGTCATATCCTATAATTGGTCACATCCCAGTGCCAAATCGTTAGGATCGGCATAGTGATTAACGAATAAAATTTTACTTACAGGTTTTCCCTGTGCATCACTCACATGATAATCGGGTCACTCTTGACTTAATGTCCATCTAGAAAAAAAAATAACGTCGTATATACTTGAAAAAAAGAGCAAGCTAATCGGCAATGTCCAGTGGTTACAGGTCAACAAAACCCGGTAACCCCGAATTTGACGAAGCTTCCCAAAAAGAACTCGCCAAATTTCTCGAAGGAGAGAATGCCAAAATGCGCCTTCAGCAATCGATTCACACTTTTACTGATCTCTGTTGGGATAAATGTATCACCAAGATTAGTAACAAGATTGATCGTGGAGAAGAGACCTGCCTGGTGAATTGCGTTGAAAGGTTCTTGGATACTAGCCTATTCATAGTCAAAAGATTGGAGGAGATACGAAATCGGTGAACCGATACTCGGGAGCATGTAATGCAAAAATATTAGAACGATTGGAAATCAAGCATGAATCTCTCTACACATTTCCTTACGCTGTACATTTTACTATCACAATAAAACAATGCCTGAATGGCATCAATTAACTTTCATCATTGTTATTAATCAAAGCTGTAGTAATTAAGATTGATTGTAGGTGAAATTATTCCACATCTAACCATTTTTTCGTCAGAATGAAGGGCGAAGTATTTCGGTACATTTTGGTTTAGTCTGCAACAATATACACAAGCGATGTGGGTGAAATTAATCTGAAATATTTTGTCAAAGTGAAATAATTTCACCAAGGTGAAATATTTCAATTTAGTTACAATATTACTTTACGGCTGTTTTCAAATTCTGGGACAACATAAAATTGACTAATAATCATTCGGCCGGATACCTATTACTTATCGAACGATTTACTTGTGCGGCACAAGTAAATCGTTCGGTAAACCGTGGTACCTCCCTGTATAAAAGCATAATGTTGATATAATTTCATCACGTTATTTTTTTATCTTTTATATATTATGTTATTGTAAAGGACGAACTTAAAGATGCTGGTGAAATAATTTCGCCACTATTGGTGAAATAGCATCTCTAGTATAGATGTTCGTAGATTCTCTTACTATAGAAAGAACATCAACAAACATCGCAAGGAAGTAGAATACTAGTAGAATAGTCTCACGACTTTCATTGGCCATAAAAAAATTATATCGCAACATACAAATCTTTATAAACCTTGACCCAGTTATCCCTTTATTAAAGAAGAAACTTTTTTTCACTACAGTATTATGTAAACAAGGTAGAATTAACGCCTATAAAACCGTTTATTGGAACTAAACCTGTACATACTCTTGGTTTAGTTTATGCAGAAATTTATAATAAAAATTGTCTGATAAGTTAGACTTATGTGTCTTTCTAAAAGTAATGAAATTCTTCAACACATAAAATTGCTCGAGAGCCAATCTACTAATCTTAGTTAATGCAACCTTATGTCTTTAAATATCATATTGATCAGTAACAGTAATAATAATATATGCATTGACCAAATTAAGATCTTTTTATAGCTACGTACGTATTCAGTTTTAGAAAAAGCTAAAAAAAATTTTGTTAAAAGTTTTAAATTTTTATAAATAGATATAAGCTTATGTTGTACGTCAAGTTAAAACCTTTGTCGGATCAAAATAATTATGATGCCCTACAACAGAGTCTTCTTCGACTTTTAACAGCTGCCCTACTTTGTTTAGCACATCTCGAATGTAACCCGGATTTGCATAAGGAAAGCATCTTGCATTGCAAATACAAAGTAAACTTTCTGATTATATTATACAATTGGAAATTTTACTTTGTATTCGCAATGCATCCCTGATGTACTAAACAAAGTAGAGCAGCTGTTAAAATCGAAAAAGACCTCTGCTATCCCTATTAATCAAGAATTTTAGTAGCATCTAAAGTAGTTTGTGCTAAGATGCTATTTTAGACGATAACATGATTATATTAAAATTTATACTTAACGATAAAATTTATTAATAGCTAATTTTGCTAGCTGGTTTTGCTTTTAATGACCGGTGGCCCTGTTACTCATACTCTAACTTAGATTTTCATAATTAGAACAAACGACATGTACCTCCTACATTTGGGATTTGTCCGAAGTAAGCTGGGAGTCAGTCTTAAAAAGTCCGCGTGAAGTCGAAACTTTTTAACAGCTTTAACATCCCCGCTTGCGCCACATTATAAATCACGTGTTGGTGAGTAGGGTGGTTATCTAGTCACAGGCAACAAAACAAAATAAAACAATAACAATAAAACAAAGATCACTTCAGAATAGATATTAACTTGAAGCATACATTTGTAAATAGTCGTAATGGCAGATAAAAAAGTTACCATATATATTATCGACGTTGGGCCTACCATGTGGCAAGTTGAACGTAAACCTGGCGTAACAGGACTAGATCTCGCACGTAAAGCTGTTTTGATAATGCTAGAAGCGAAGGTAATTAAGCATTAAACAACGCGCCTCATAATTGAACAGTGCGAAAGGCACGTGGCCTTATTGCGCAATCTTGAAGAATTGAACGTCTTATCATAATGTATTTCATAGGTAATAGCCGGTCTGAAATCCGATGTAACTAGCCTCCTTCTATTTGGAACAGATGGTATGTTTCATAAGTCGTGAAACGGTTGATACGTGTTTTAAAATCCTGCCGCGATTATTTATCAAAAGACAAATTAATCACAGACACAGATAATTACATGAACGGTCAGGCTGGCGGCTATGAACATGTAACTACACTTTATCCGATTGAGCAGCCAAATATGTCAATTCTCCGAACGGTCAACAACAACCTCCCTCACGGGAACGTTAAAGGAGATGGTTAGCTAACTATTGATTTACATTTTAATTTATAAAATATATTCTAAAATATATTTGTGTTCATTAGCGTTCGATGCGCTTATTATCGCCCTGGGCATGATCGACTTACATTGCAGAAAGCTAAAGTTCAAAAAAAAGATTTATCTTTTAACTGATGGAGAATCACCGATAAATAGTTCTGATTTTGATGCGGTATTACGTCAAATAAATGAATCAAATGTTGAATTAAATATATTGTGCGTATAATTTGAATTTTTAGAACTATATGCAGATTTTTAGAAAACCTATTATAACGTATAGTCATTTATAGGGGTATTGGTTTTGATGATCCAGAAGCAGGATTTTTTGAAGAAAATAAATCAGAAGTGAAGGTATGCACGCATCTTTGATAGAGCGTTATTTATTTAGTATTTGATCTAAAGTTCACCTAAATATAATAGCGACAAAGCGAATCCTTTTTCAACAAAATTGTAAGCAAATGTCCACAAGCAACAATTTTTTCGATGGAAGAAACGTTAAAACAACTTTCAAAACCACATATCAGAACAGTGAGACCCGTACCTATCTTTAAAGGTGCATTAACTCTTAATAATGCCAAAATGTCCTCTCAAATATCTCTTTCAATAAATGTTGAGATGTACTCCCGTACAACAAAAGTACGTCCCCCCACGTTGACAAAATATTCAGCCCTTGCTGAGGCTTCCACCACCATTCATAAAAAAACGTCCGAAGTAAATATGTCCAGGACTTATACTATATCGGTTGTTGATAATGACAAGAATGAAGCAGTTGAAGTTCCACGTGAAGAATTGAACAAGGCGTATTCGTTAGGAAAGACGCTTATCCCTGTTAACGAAGCAGATGAAGAAGCCTTTACTATGATTACAATTAAATCAATGGAAATTGTTGGATTTATCAAAAGCAATGAGGTGAGTGTAATACCCAGTTACCTATATAGTTACCTGGCCTTAGGTTTCAGTATAAGGCTAATTATTATTAGTTTAAACGCGAATATCTCATGTCGGCTGTTACCGCAGTCGTTCCTCAAACCAATAACCTGACAATGGCTCACCGTCTTTCAGCATTAATCCATGCATTATACGAAAAAGAAACTTTCGCAATAGTTCGTTATGTGAAAAAGAATGATGACCCACCAAAATTAGGAATACTAATTCCTTACATTAGGGCGCCCAAAGAGTGTTTATATTTTTGTCGCGTATGTGTCTATATTTAGAACCTTTTTATTTTTCCTTTTTTGGTCAACATGATTATTTAATTAATAAATATTTTTTAATCTTGGCTCAAAGATTCCGTTTAAAGAAGATTGCCATCACTTTACCTTTCCATCTTTTGATCGCGTAATGAGCAAAAGTGGTAAAGAATTGACGAATCACAATTATTTACCAAATGACGAAATGCTTGAAAAAATGGATCGCTTCATCGACGGAATGGATCTTATGAATGCTGCAAAAGACGAAGGGTAAGACCTTTGTGGCTACATCTTGATTATTATTTAATTAACCATTTAATGGCACGATGTTACTTATTTAGTAATGTGAAAGAATATCTTAAGGTTAAAGAATGCTTTAATCCGGTTATTGTTCAAACCAAGAAGGCAACTTGTCACAGAGCATTATACCCAGATGATCCGTTGCTTCAGCCTGACCAGGAAATTATTGCGCAAACACAATTCCTTCCGTCATTAATTCAAAAGAATTTATATCTAGCGAACGATATGCGGACATTGTTTAACATTAAAAAAGGTAAAACCGATCGAATTATTTATAAGTCATCCAAACTTATTATAAGTCCTTTTTCATAATTTAATGTTTTAAATATAGTTAATAAAGAGAAAGGAAAGACTGGGAAACGTCGGTTTGCTGATGCAAACAAACCTAGTAGCCAAGAACTTAGTCTTGAGGAGATTTTGAACAAACCGGAAGAACACAAAAATGGAAAAAGAGTCAAATCTGGCGATGGTAATATTACAGATGCATTAATTCAACATGGAGTTATTCGGGAGGTCGGCACTATCGATCCTATATCGAATTTCCAAGCAATGATTGCAAACCGACAGGAAGATTTAGTTTCTACTGGTAATTGTACTTATATTTATATTTTAATTTTATAAGATCTATTTTCAACAGTTGATTTATATTCGTTACTTGCTTTAGCTGTTGAACAGATGTCTGTGACCATACTACACTTTGTCAAAACATCGTTTGCCGAAGGATTGTATCCAAAAGCATTAGATTGCCTTAAGATACTAAGACAGGCGTGTGCGAAGGTACTATTCAATTATGATATATCCTAAATCGCAATCATAATTTATTTTTGTATTTATTAGGAAAATGAAACATCGAAGTTCAATGATTTCCTCAAAGAATTGAAGTCCACATGCTTTGAAGCACAACCCTCTAAAACCGATTTTTGGGATTTGATTGTCCGTGAGAAAATAACTTTAATAAGTCGTGATGAAGCGTCAGATAGTACTGTGTCAATTCAGGAAGCCGAAGAAGTTAGTATATACGTATTTTTTTTTTTTTTTACTATTATTACAACTGTTTTAATTGTTCTTTTCAAAAGTTTCTTCGACCCTTTGAAAAGAAATCGAACACTGATACACTGGACGAGGATGCAGTGGCTACTGATGATTTGGTAATGCGTTTGTATTTTAGATGCAATCCTGTAATCCTTTTATTGACTCAATTTAAATATTTGTAGTTTAAATTGATGGAAGATTAGTTAGTCTTTTATGCTAAAACTGCTTTTTCCGGATGTCCTAATAAACAGATCGTATATCTTTTATTTGTACCGATTTTTTTTTTTTGCTTCACTAAGATTTCAGACTACCACATGATTTTCACCAATTATATTAATTGATTAATAAGTACTACGTACTATTTTCATAAAAATAAATATAAAACTCATACTAGATCTGATATAAAAAATTAGGCAACGTATTATTTATACGAACTCAATGATAAAATAATATAATGTCTCTTATTAAATCAAAATCTAAAATACCGTTTCCCTTGTCATACATTCTATACACAAAGTATACATGTAGAAAAAGTATGATCCGAAAGGGCGTGATCTGCCCCACAAATCATTTTAATGATTAGACTCTGTGTTACTATATCAAAGCAATTATTCTAGCTTACCTATTCTAATTTATTATCTAAACAATTATAAAGTACCATTAAAAGTACCAAAATAGTAATTAACTCGTTTTCTTTTTAGAAGACTTTTTCTTATTCTTTTTATTTTTAGTACCGCTTGTTGATGACGTGGGTGATACATCTACATAGTCTTCTTCTTCTGCAGTAAGGACAGCACTCGTTCCAGAATTGTCGTCCTCACCTTGGATATTGTGTTTCTTAAAATTCCCATCGTCACCCTCACTTTCGCTTGACATTTGCTTTTTTGGACGGCCTGTGTCCTTCTTATTCTTTTCTTCTTTACTTTCAGCATCATCGGCAGAATAATTGAAAACATCTGTTAATTGATTTTTCATTATTCCAGTAGCAAGAACAGCCAATATACACGCAGGGGAAAGATAAAGTAGCGCAGGTTGTGCAGCTTTAAATGTGTGCATAACTACTATTGTTGTTACAAGTCCCAGTATGTATGCAGTAAAACAGTTCCGGAAATAAGGAGTAGGAAAAGTAGAATATCGACCCGCATTAGGATTCTTTTTTAGGTAATTGCTGTGGTCGAAACGAAGACAAAGGGCCACATAAATACCTAAATTATAATGATATTGTCAATTACTGTCCTAGAAATGTTGGACTATTGTATTTTCAGGAAAATAACTTACCAGGCACAACAATATCACCCAATCCAAGCATCGTAAATTGCAATGCCTCCTCACCGGTCCACTGTTTTGGCCATACAACTTTAATGGGTGCATCAAAGCTTTTTGCCACAGTAACCATAACTTCTGTACCGAATACCCAAAATATATCATAGAAAAATAATCCACCAAGAAGAATCATGCCCGTTTTGAAGGAATCCAACGATAACATCTGAATTGCGTTAAAAGCAAAGGCAAGTCCGAAAATATTTGACGCAATCCAATTTTTGGTGCCCACATAAAAAGCAGTAAGGAGAATGGAAAAGAAAAGCGATACGAGATGTATGATCGTGAAATTGGCATTGTAAAGCTCTAGAAATATGGAAAGTATCGTTAAACAAATGCGCCTATTAAAAGATTTAAGTATAAACAGATAGATTTTTAAATAACCTTTAGCTTTTTTTGTCAATACGAGCTTATAAGCATCTACTTTAAACTTGAAAACGCTTTTTACAACATGAACACCAACATTAGTCACTGCGACTACGCCCAAGAACGCAAAGTACGCCGTGACAAGATAATTTACATATTCCTTATCCAATAATTTGAATATTAAATATAGAGAAAATAACACGACTGAACCAAATATAGGAAAGAGATAAGCATCTTCTGTTGATAAAGACTCGGCTGAAGATTCCTCTTCTGAAGATGAGTCTGTATCATGACCGGGGCTTTTACGTTTTTGTTTGGATTTCTGATGAGATGAATAGCAAATATAAGTTGACAACATAAATGTTTAATCCAGCATAAGATCGTGCTTTCAAAGTCTCAGATCAATATAGCTCTAATTTAAACGACAAAGGAGCATTATTTTACCTTAGGCCACTTGACTGATGCAAATGAACCATAGTATATTGGCACTACTGCCATGATACCCAAGGCAGCATATGCGATCAATAGTCCAACCTCCATATTTCTAAACAGTAAACGGAGTATAAAGTTTGAAGAATCGAAGGAATGAGATATGTTTTATGCACTTTATACACTCACATAAGTGAGAAGGACGAGGCTTTACCAGTTTTTAAACTGCGTTGTTAATTTTTGATTTGTAGAGATCTTAATATGATGATTTTTGATTGGCTAAAAAACTACGGAAGTAGACCCATATATAACAGGACACACGGTGTGAAGCACATAAAAAAATTATTTTACAATACTTGATCGGACTTGATCAGTCAACTAGTACATGTTATGATTATAATCCAACACCATTTTTTATTATTAAAAAATGATGTTGGATTATAATCGTAACATGTACTAGTTGACTGATCAAGTCCGATCAAGTATTGTAAAATAATTTTTTTATGTGCTTCACACCGTGTGTAAAATCAGTCGTGTAACAACAACGTTCCGTATATGGATTTGAGGGTAAAAATCACGTCGTAACTTAACTGACACGTTGCATATAAAAACTTTATTAAAAGTCGACCCATATATGGGTTTCTAAATTTAGAGCACTAAGTAAAAAATAATGTAAGACAAAAATATGAAAATGGTAAAATTTTGATATACATTTCTATTTGTACATTAGTATATAAAACACGGGTATCAAAATTCTGCCTATGAAACCACTTCTCGAGTTTTAACAAAAAAATTTACATAAAATTTTAGTATAAACTACCTTTAACCCTAACCTCTAACCCTAACCCTAACCTATTTTAACTTTAATTTACCGCGGTTTTTTAAATAGCAAATAACTTTTTTTTGATGAAAACACTCAAGCACTCGGAGTGAAAACCGCGATGATTTAATTTTGGAATTGATTTGCAATTCGTGCAACATATAAATCTATAATCTATAATCTATATCTATAACTATATACTAAAAAAATTTGTGTGTAATGATAACGTTTAGATTACCTGTATAAATTAATTTTATTAAATTGTGTAACCGTAAATCGTAAGAATCTTATTGGCTTACTTTAAATAGAATACTTTTTGATACTTTGACGTGAAGAATAATTATAACACGTTACTTTATTTGCTACATGCCAAATAACTATTTACTGTGAATAATTGGTGCAATATAGGGAAAGTACTTTAGAACTTGAGTCTTGTGACACTGGCTTACAAAGCCAAAATCGGCTATACATATTTTGATTAACTATATTTCCGGAATGAAAATCTTTATGTACTAATTTGATGTTATGAATTGTATCAAGTCTATTAGCATTAGACTGGGCTTTTAAAATAGCTAATCTATATTACATAGCTTCACCATATTTACTATCTAACAATTTTCGAAGACTTCCTTCTATAATTACTATCTTTTGGATTTTTAGTTATTCCATAAATCACAATTGCCGAATAGCCTCTATATCTATGTTGATTTTTAACCTATATAATAAAATATTAATTAGGGTAAAATTACTATACTTTAATAAATATTAAATTATAATACTTACTTCATTTAAAAATTCTCGTTTCATATCTTTAGAATTATCAAGACTTTTTAAACAAACATCTATTTGCAAACTTCTTTTCCACTTATTCGTCCAAAAATCGAGTCCTATACAGTCGTCCCTCCATATAGTCACTTCCTATAATCACATCATATATAATCACATTTTTATTTAGGCCAAACTATAATTTAATTTATAAGAAAAAACCCCCATATAAGTACAACCCCTCTATAAGCACATTTTTAAAAAAAATTACTATATGCCCAACTGTGTGATTGTATGGGAGGACGACTGTAATATATCCGTCAATCCATACTGCCTTAAAAACAGTGCCAAAACCTCCTTTAGCAAAATACCTTATATTTGCAAATTTACCAAATGGTATCTATTCAATAATGCTTTAAACTTCTCTGCATTAAGTTGTGTTTGTTGAATTAATTGATCAACATCGTGGTTGTCACTTGTCTAGTTATGAAATTCTTTTTTAAACCTTAATATTTAAAAAATAATAAATATGATATATAGTAATTAAAAGCTATGATTATAAAAAAAAATAACTAATATAAAAAGTAATATCTTACCATTGTAAGTGCTTGTATTGGAAATGATGTTATAAACCTGCTATCTTGATACAAAGTATGTGGTTAAGATTGAGATAATTTGCAATATTAACAATCATGAATTCTAATATGATTTACTATAAAAAATTTTGGTATAAAACTTACTTGCTGTTATGACACATAGTAGATTTGTTACATAGTATGCATTAAGGGTAAGTTAGTTTGTACTGAACTAATAGTCAGGAATTTTATCATAAAAAATTTTGATACGAAGCTTACTTGATGTTAAGATACATGACATGTGGTTAAAGTTAAGGTTAAGTAGGTTTGATTAGAATTAAAGTTGTAAACAGTTATAAAATCTATTATGATTTTGTTACAAAACTTATTTATCGTTGTAATACTTATATGTGTCTATATAGTTTGAAATGAGATTAAGTTAGCATTGAAAATTCTGCTAAAGAACTTAATATTCTAGCAAGTAGTTAAAAGTAAATTAGTCAACATTTGAGTTACAAAAAAAAAATTTTGGTGCAAAATGTATTCAGTACTTTGGTGGCACGAATTTACGTTCATTGTGAAGTAATGTAAAAAAAAAAAAAAAAAGCATTATTGTTTTGTACTGTTGTAATATACAACATAAAAAATATAAGTATACTAGAAACTGGAAACCAGTGTAAGTCCAGAGCACAAAATATTAAATTATATAAAAATTAAAAACCAATTTAAACCTAAAATAATACTAATAACTGGATATTTATACTATAAATATATATAATAGCTAACAATAAAATAATTAAAAAG